GTCCGGTGGGGGGGGGGCGGGCGGGCCCTGCCCTGGCGGTGGCGGGAGCCTCGGCGGGCGCTGCGGCCCCGGGCCTGGGCCATCCCGTAGCTACCGGCAGCGACCGCGTAGCTGAAGTTCCCGTCGCTTTCTCCTAAAGCCTTCCCGCCTCCAGGCGGCAGTCCGGGGAGAGGGGCTGCGCCGCGTCAGGCCGGGCTGGGTGCTGGAGGAGATGGCTCACCCTGCCAGGCCTTCTGAGCCTTGCAGGCTCCTGGTTTCTGCTTGGCAGGAGTGACTCCAAACGTTCAAAGAGGCACTAGTTAAATAATTTTTAGGGGAGGATCCACCATGCTTCTGCCCCGTCACAGACCTCTGCTTGGTTTGTCGCCCGATGGCTCACCCTGCCAGGCCTTCTGAGCCTTGCAGGCTCCTGGTTTCTGCTTGGCAGGAGTGACTCCAAACGTTCAAAGAGGCACTAGTTAAATAATTTTTAGGGGAGGATCCACCATGCTTCTGCCCCGTCACAGACCTCTGCTTGGTTTGTCGCCCGGTGATGCTTTTTTAAAATGGAGTTCAGGTGTTTTTTTTCAGGTAGGGAAGTTGGGAGGGAAGAGAAAACATATTAGGGGAAGAAGAAATAAGCTTGTGGTCTGTTGCTTAAAAGAGAGTATTTTGTGTGTTGCCATGTCTGAGGATATTTTATTGGAAGAGGACATTTGGGAGTACAAATCCATTCGGAAGCAAAAGCATCAGCGTAATTCAGAGACCATCTCTACACCTGTGCAGAAAGTGAATGATGAGAAGTGCAGGCCAAAAAGAAAGAGAAATAGAAGTAAAAAAAACACTGCAGAAAAAACTAGTACGCTTCAGCAAACTGAGCAGAAATCAAGGCCAAATCAGGATGCAGATCACTGTAAAGATGACAGTAGTGTGCACTTCCAGGAAAGCCTGAGTAGCCTGACAGAACAGAGCTCACAAAACGCAAAGCCTGCTGATGAAGGATACTGTCCAAGCTGCCAGATGCCTTTCTCTTTGCTAGTGGTCCAGACACCTCGATGGCATGTTGCTGAATGTTTGGACACTCCAGGATCCATTGAAAAAGGTATGAATAGAGTAAGAAAAAATCCTTAAGAGAAAACGTAAAGATTCCTCACATAACACTGCTGTAAACCTTGGTTTTAATACTTAGTTCAAAGTCTGAGGTGGTAGTTGGTATGATTTGTGCAATATTATTACTGATCATTCATCAGTGTTATTTTTGTATGAGATTTTTGGATCTTTGTGAAGAACATGGAAATCTGACATGATAATCTCATACCAGAATTTAATCTGAAAACTCTATAGTCATAAAGTTTCATGATTGTTTATCAAGCTCCAGTTTTAGTAGTTTATTGAAGAAGTTGGAAGTTCCTATTTACCATTTTAAAATAATGGAATCTGATCTGATTACTAAGTCAATTTCAGCAAAAAACTCCCTTAATTTATGAGGTTGATATTTTTCATACTAAATTTATTTCCCTTAGGTATCAGTTTTACTATCCTGTATCCGTGTTGCTGAAGCTGAAATCAATCTGTTGTGTTAATTTACTTGAGATGTTAGCCCCTGGTCCAGCATGCATTAAGAATTGTATATAGAATTACACAGGAATATTCCTGTGCCATAAGACAACACAGTTTTGTTTTGAATTCTGTAAAAGAGGAGCAAAATTGATTCATCCCAATTAATAATTTCATGTGGGGAAATACCATGTCTTAACAAATCCAGGTATCCAGCTCATGTTGTTAATACGCCTGATAGCTTTTGAAAAACAGAAAGCACTTTTCTTTCTATATCTTTGTAACTTCCCTTGGAGTTTCTTCTTCAGAACAATGAAATCTGCACTCTTTACTCCTATTTTTGGCAGTGGTTTTAACTTAAGGCAGATGTGTTAACAGCTCATTTCCATCTCTTACTCCCCTAATTAACAGATGAAAAAAAATCCTTCTCCTTGATTTACGCGTTCACCTTAAAATCCTCAAAAGTTAGGCTAGCAAACTCTCAACAAAAAAAGGCCTAGGGAACAGCCAGAGATTTTTTTACTAGCATCTGAATCTTGAATAGTTTTTTCACATAAGTAAATATATGAACTTTTTTAAAAAATGGAATTTCAGGTTGATTCAGAACCAAGATTTGGGTTGTTTTCAAACATGTCTACTCACCTTTTCTGGTGCCACTGCTCTGAGCTCATGGCTTGCAGGTGAGACAATTCTAAACTAGAAGCCCTATGATTACATTAACATAACACTGAAACAGGGTTAAATATTCTTGTTGTTAAAGGTCTGTATTAATTCAGGCATAGAGCTGTATTAGCAGCAGCTGTTTGGTTTTGGGTTGGAAGCATTGTCATGTCTAGCCAGCTCAGGGCAAGGAGTCTTGATGGCTTGAAAATTACTTTTTACTTGTGCCTTCTGTGCTCCAGTTGTTGTGTTTATAAGAAAAAGCTTTTAAATTGTGTGTCATGCGTGATTTCTATTTTAATAATTATGCCAACTATATTTGAAAAGATATTAATGTTACTTTTCTGTTTAATTCTTCCCATAGAGTGTCCTGATGGTTTGCTGTGCACTTCCACCATTCCATCCCACTACAAGCGTTACAGCCATTTCCTACTTGCAGCAAGCAGGGCAGGAGATTATCTTGCAAACTCTTCAGCAAACACTTTGGAGAGCAAGATGACATGTTCTACTCCTACAAAGCCCAGATGTTCCCCAAGTCATGTAGAGGAAATCTCACAGGATGTTAAACCATCTAATAATGTAAAAAATGTCCCAAATGATGACTGTACATGGATGGTACGGAGTTCACCACAAGTGAAGTCTCTAAATATGACCAGTGAAAGTACTTCCTCTTTTGCAGATGTTCAGAAGCCTCAACAGACATTTCAGCTTACTCAGACCGCAGATAATAGCTGTAAATTTGAATTTTATGACTTTGCATCCTCTCAAGGAAGTGAAACAAGAGAAGATCTGTGTAGTCAGAAAGATGCGAGTCAGCCAAGTCTACTACTGTCAAAAGCTGACTTCAGTGACTGTGAAATTTCTTATTCTCCACTGAGTACTTTTGAGGAAAGTGAAGAGGAAACTGAGGAAGAGGAGAAGAAAATAAAAACATCACAAAGTGAATTATTTGAAGTCCAGAACTTTGAAGATGAAGAATCTAATTCTATGGTGTTCAAAACATTTGATGGAGTTTTCTTACTGCAGAATCCTCAGTATGAGCATACCAAAGTGGGAAATATCATCATTAAAAAAAGGCACAGTGGAGAAGTAAATACATTGAAACATCTAAATCATCACACAGCTGTTTCTCAGGGTCACATGAACAGCAAGTTTTGTAGTTCAACATGTGTAGATAATCAGCATCAACAGGAGGCCCTAGCTGGGGGATCCTCTTTTAATTGCAAGGAGGTGGAACGGCTAGAACTTACTTCCTGTGCTGCTAGAGCAGGTAATGTGGAGTCAGAAGATATTGGTGCTTTGGATTCTGCATATGTGAGTTTTACTGAGACATCCTTGCTGCTAGTCAGAGAAGATGCTGGGTCTCTTCTGACACAGAAAAGTAACATTTTAGCTAATACAGATAAAATTACTGCCAATGCAACTGAAAAAAGAGCTCACCAGGAGAGTCTGCAGTCAGTTGTAGAAAAAGAAGGAAATCTTGATACAGCTGCTGTGTGCTTTCCCAGCCCTATCTCTAAAATTGGGTCGTCATCTTCTTCAGCAAGTATGAATGCCAAATCCAGTCCTGCCAAAGTACTCAAACAAATGGACATTGGTGTTTTCTTTGGGTTAAAACCCAAAGTAAAAGAGGAAAGCAAAGGAGAGACGTGTTTGAGTGAGGGAAGGCAGTTATCAGGTTCAGTAACTCCCAATGGGAAGAGGCCCAGACAGCAAAAAAGGAAAGCTGAAGGGTCTGTGGAAGATGTACAAGCAGTTACAGAAAGTTCAAGTAAAAATGGAACCTTTCCAGATCTAAGTTCTGGTGGCCAACAGAGGTGGAGAAAAAAAAAAAAGGAATTACCTACTGTAGGTGAAGGAACAAGAAAAAAATACTGCCCATTCTACAAGAAAATACCAGGTGAGAGGTAACTGTTGCTTTCTGTAGAGGTTAACTCATTTTGACTTGTGTTGTATTTTTTTTTCCTAATTTTAGGCTTCAGTGTTCTTCACTTCTCAGACCTGCAGCTCATAATGAATTTTCTTTCCTCCATACAAGCGATAGTTGGTGCAGGTCTCCAAAAGAAGGTGATTGCAGACCCAGAGTCAGCAATGGCTGAAAATAATTAGTGAAATAGTTATCTCAGGAATGTTATTTCAATGACTGAATTTTAAATATTTTTGACAGAGCAAGAAAAGCACTATTGAAAGATTGATCTACTGTCTTAAATGATTTTTAATATACCCCTTGTTAATATTCACTCCTAATTCCTGAATTTAGTCTTTCACATTGATTCAGTTGTTCTTGAAAATAGGGATGTCATTAGTAATATTTTTCTCACTTAAGTTTAAAGAATGTAATTTAATTTTGCATTTGAAATATGAAAATAGGTGATTTATTGCAACTGTGAAAACAAGGAAAAGAAAATCATGCAGAAGAGTTTAGTGAAGAAAACAGGCAGGAATTTCTCAGAATCTTCTCAAACAATTGCATAAATTACAGGATGGTGGACTTAAAAAGCTTCAGATCCTTACAATTCCATTTCCTTCTAAAGGACTGCCTTAGTTTTAGGTGTAGATATTTGACAAAGCCGAGTAGAAATATCTTAGTGATCCTGAGTGCCAAGCTGCTGCTTTAAGACTGACCTTTAAGTCTTTGTGGAGCTACACCAGTATCCTGGGTTCCATGAGCTTAGAGAATTTTCCATGTATGATAAATTTGAAGAACAGACTCCTATGCCTATGATGCAATTTTAGATTTGTTTGGTTTTTATAATTCTTTATATTATCTTTGTTCTGAATTCTTTTGCTGCATTTGCAGTATATTTGACTGTATTTTCTGTGTTGTTAACGATATATATTTATCCCCGTGGCCTGGTATAATTCAGCCACCCTGAAATTTGAAGTCTTGTATTTCTCAAACACCTGGGGATTTTTTTTTGGCTTGTGATTTTTAATTAGCATACAGTTATAGGGGTTTCTTTGAGTTGCAAATAGTTTAAATTCTAGCCTCAAGTAAGTACTTCTCCTAGAATATCTGAGGAATTCGCATTACATAACATAAATGAATAAAATAAAGTAAATGAAAAAGACCCCAGATGCTTGCTTAATAATTCATGGTAGCATGTTTTAAAAGGAGTATTAAACATAGAATAATTGAAAAATTGCAGTTTGATTGCAAAAGACCTTTTGTTAAGATGTAATTACCTGTTTTATTCTGTGTTAAGAAGTTGGTATTACATTTTGATCTATGTGAACTTCCAAAAATATCAAGTCAATGCAGAGAAATGTGTTTTCTTTGCTTAGATGGTTGCCATCTGTTTAGGATGGCAGCTCAACAACAGATATTTGGGAGGCCTGTGGAAGTATTTGTGTGTGGACACTTAAATTTTTATTTTAATAAGCAAAAATAATTTTTGAACTGTTGACTCCTGCGCAAACTGTACTCATCTTTTATCTTTACATGGCTCCTTCAACTGTATGAGGTGTAACTGTATTACCTTTTAATTTGGAAGAAAGAAAAAAGAAGAAAAGGAACATCTTATTAGAAACTCATTCTGAGCTATGCATGTTTGCTGACTGGCTTCTCTTCCCATTTTGCTGTAGGAACTGGTTTTACAGTTGATGCCTTCCAATATGGAGAAATTGAAGGCTGCACAGCATATTTCCTTACTCATTTTCACTCTGATCACTATTGTGGGCTAACAAAAAACTTCGCATTTCCAATCTACTGTAATAAGGTATGGTTTTCTATGATGAGTAGAAATTTTCCAATCTGTATGCAACTATAATCACTTTTATATGAAAGTAAATAGAACATCAGAGGTTCCACTGTTGGGTCAGTTGGCACAGTTGGTATGTATAGGGGAATCTGGGTTTCCTTGATAAGTAATTCTGGCCTTGATTTGGCTGATAAGAGTAGTGAAACTTCCCTGTCTAGATACCAGGAAAAAAAACCAGATTTTTTAAGTTTTCTACAGGTCAGTCTTTCAATCTCATCTCTTGCACAGTGTGGGTCTAACTTCAAAGTTAGATCAGACTGCTGAGAGCCGCTGTTGGTCTGATTTTGAAAATAGGGCAGATTCCACTGTATCTCCTCACACCTGTTGCAGTGCTTACCCACTCTGAAATTTCTTCTTACTACACAATTGAAATTTCCCTTTTTTGCAGCCTGAGACTGTAGCTTGTCCTTTTTGTGTGCATCACGGAGAAGAATCTGGCTCCATCTGGTCTATAACTCTAGTCAAGTGATGGAAGCCTGAAATTAAATTCCATTTAAGCCATCTCCACATTTAGTAAATTGAGCTGTTTTATCCTGGTCCCATGTGTCCTGTGCTTCAGGTTGCTGACGGCCAAGGCTGCCACCAGCTATCATATGTCCAACCAACTCTTCTTTACTGATAACATGGTAGGGCATGTTACCTAACCAACTCATCCAGAACCTGCATGAAACATCTGTTTCTGATTTACTCTGAAAGTCTCCTGGAATGTTCACGTCCTGTGTTGCCCTTCCAGTACGTGCTGAGGTGACTGCAGTTCCCCGTAATAAGATTCAAGGCCTGTGACTTGAAAATTTATTTAGTTGTTTAAAAAAGGCTTTGCCCACCTCTTCTTGACTTGGCAATCTGTAACAGATTTTATTCCCCCTTGTTTGCCTCTGCTCTGGTGACAGGCTTAGAAGTTTGCTTTCTAAGAGGTGAAATGCTACTGAAAGACTTGATTATACCCAGAATCTCATCGTTTCCCTCTAAGCCAGAAAGTCTAATTCTACAATAAACAAAGGCTTTTTCTAGATACTTGCTTCTATTCCGTCTTAAATCCTTTCCCTTTTACAGATAACTGGCAACCTGGTGAAGAGCAAACTTCGAGTCCAAGAACAGTACATCCACGTGCTGCCAATGGACACAGAATGTGTAGTAGATGGGATCAAAGTGTTGTTGCTTGATGCCAATCAGTATGTATCTCTTCATTTGTTGTGGAATGTGTATAGGTTATTAAAGATAAATGGCTGTAGAGATACACTTTATGTTTTCATGATTTTTGGGTGTCAGTGGATCTGAAAAAATATAAAGTGAAAATACTTCACATTCCTGAGTTGGCTTAGTAACATACATTTTCTCTGCAGAAGTGAATTAGGCATGTAGGAGCCTAAACTTCAAGTAGTTAACTTTTGAAATAGGTGAAATATTTTTGAAAATTAAGCTTATGCTTTTTTGGCAATTTTGGCTTAACTTTTTGTTGTTGTAATGAGTAAATCGTGTTAACGACGGATAGCTCCATAATTTTAAAGCTTGTTGAGGAGTTGAATCATTTTTCTTACTATATGGACACTTTAGTTTTTGGTGTCTAGATTTGATTATCAGATATGTTAGGTTTGTGTGTCTTCAACTAAAGAGTGAAATCTTCAGCTAAAGAACAATGTGGTACTTTGGATTCTGGGAAAGACAAAACCTAACCAACATTTTGAAAACTGAACTTTAAAGAAAAGCCTGTTGAAACGTGCGACAAGACTGTGTTTGGTGCTAAAGGGTGAGATTTTTGTGCAACTTAACACTGGCACTGTGAGGTAATGCTGGGTGTAGAGCCCAGTAGCACCTGACTTCCACCCCTGTGCTCTTGCTGTTCTGCCTCTTGGCACCTTATTTGACTGTGGGCTAGAGAAGTCCTATCCCTGAAGTATATACTGAAATGCAGCACTGTGTCACAGCTGGTTTTAGTATTACTTATCTTAGGATTTGTTTATAGTTGGAAAGATAAGATTCCACTAAATCCTTTGAGAACCCTTTCTGGGAATGAAGGAAGCCTTGTTGCTTACGTAATTTGGACATTTTTGATTTTTTCCTGTTTGTCTCTCTGATCCCCTGCTTCAATTGAAAAGTCATATAAAACTGAGGTACAAAGTTCAACTTTTTGGAAACTTCACAAATTCTGTCATTTTACCTTTGATTCATGCCAGTTTTTCTTTCTTTTTTTTTTTTTTTTTCTGAGATTTCATTTACCCTGTACAGATGATTCATGTCCAAAATAGTCCCACTCTGGTTTCCCAGCCCAAGCACCGTCCTTCAGACAGCTTTGGTGAGGAATTCCAGGAAGTGCAGTGGATTCGCTGTGGCCAATGAGAGAATTGTATTTATAAGCAGGGAATTCTGGATGGAGGAGAATATTTAAAATCTGCAAATAAAATTTAAAAGGAAGTGCTTGAGTAAGTCCTGCAGGAATGAAAACATATCTGCAATAATTAAATTCTATTCCTCCTGAATAAGAATGCTGCTTCTCTTTGGTGGGCTGTTTCCCCTTTCAATCAAGTAATAGAACCTCGGAGATTGCAGCTGAGGCAGCACCTTTGTCGTACCTAAAAGAGCACCGGTCATCCCAAAAGGCAATTAATGCTTGATTACTGTTGCTGTGTTTTTTTTTCTTCCCTCCATCTCAGCTGAGAACTCAAGTCTAGATTGCCTGTGGCCTTAAGGTTAGCTTTAGAATTCCTTTGGAAATGCAGAATTTCCAGGTAAATTGGGCTGCGTAGTAGATGTGCTTTAAAAAGCTGTTCTGCACACCTTCCTGCTCCTGAAGGGTGGTGTATCTTGTATGGTAGTTTGTGTATCTTGTAAGACAACACAATTTGCATGGGGCTTTTGTTTGTTGTTTGTTTGTCTCAGTTGTCCAGGTGCAACAATGATCCTTTTCCGCCTGCCGAGTGGAACTGTTATTCTGCACACAGGAGATTTCAGGGCAGATCCTTCGATGGAGCGCTACCCTGCTTTGGTTGGCCAACAAGTCCACACCCTTTACCTTGATACCACGTAAGCTGTGCTCAATTGGCTTTCTTATATAACCCTCTTTTCAGTTAAATAAGAGTGGATATGAACTAAATAAGTGTAACAAAATTACTGGTTTAACACTTGTTAGCTTTATTTAGTGTAATATAAAATCAGGTCTTTTTTGAAAGTCCGTGTATGTCTAACTCTTTCTCTGTTATGATGTGACATGACAGGGAGTAAAAGTGGGTGGTGGAAAAGATGCTAGAGTATTTGCTGAGATGGCCTTATTATTTAAAAAAATTATATTAAATTCTGGGTGTCAAAATTCATACATTATGTTCAGCTCTAAAACAAGAGCTTCATGGAACACTGGTCTTAATATGGATTCAACTCTGTTATGAAAAGAGTTGTGGGGGAATTCAGAGAGTGAAAGAATGCCAAATGGTTAAGTCAGTTGTCCAAGTTTTCATTAGACCTTTCTGTGACTCATGTGTATAAAATTGTTTTTCTGTGTGTGATGACTAATGCCCAGCTGCAGTCTTTTATTTCTGCTCCATATGTTTCTGCAAATGTATAGTGCCTTATGTTATGGTTTGTATGCATGACAAAAAATAGACATAAGGATGTAATTAGTGCATAAGACAAATATCTGGCTTGAAAGAGTAGTTGGTATTTATAGGGAAAAAAAACTATGGAATTGAGTGTTAGTGTCAGACAAGTGACTAGTTACAGAGCAAAGCCTGATAGACTCAATGTACATTTTATCACAACAATTTCATCTGGGCACCTCAGTGGCTTCTAATAAATAGATTTCAAGTAGACTGAAATTACATAGAAGGATAACATGGTTTTCATTACTTTATTATTGTATGCATGCAGTTTGAAGGTTTATCTTGGTAAATTCAAATTCTTCTATTTTGTGTAGCAAAGTGCTGTGTCCTGTTTCCCCACCCCAGGTACTGTAGTCCTGAATATACTTTTCCTTCTCAACAAGAGGTTATCCAGTTTGCTGTCAATACTGCCTTTGAGACAGTGACTTTAAACCCACGTACTCTAGTTGTCTGTGGCACCTATTCCATTGGAAAAGAGAAAGTTTTTTTAGGTATGTAAAAGAGGTGTACTGGATCAAATAGCTAAATAAATATCTAAGTCGGTGTTAGAAGACTTTTTTTTTTGATGTTGTAAAATATTGCTTTGTCATGGTGGTCAAACACAGTATACAGAAATGAAATATAATTAGTAATCATGCTGCTAGTTTTCTAATAAAGTTTTAACTTTCTGAAATAAAGATTTTTCTGCCATGTTTACAGGCTCCCTGAATGTACAGAAGGCCAATTTGGTTACTAAATGAATTAACCTATTTGATTGTGGTGAGAAAATGACTACTGTCAATTAAAAACACCCTCATAAATGAGGTCTTTTTGACATTTTTTGTGTTAATAATCTCAATGTCAAGAAACACCAAAGTAATATAGTTGTTAGTAAACATCTGTTTTGCTAACAGTTTTCCTTCCAGGTTTATATTATGTATTTTCCCAAATATGTATAGTAATAAGCTCTAATGAAATAAATTTTCATAAAGCATTCCTCAAACTAAAACACATCATTTCTGGCTCAATGAAAATCTTGTCTGCTGTGCTTCACTTAGTTACAGCATTAGGAACAGCCATGTACCATTTGTTCTTCTGAGTGTATTTAGTCATCAGTGCAAGATTTACTTTCACTGAAATTTAATGTCTGTCTTTAATGTGGGCTTTTTGTTGCTTATTCCAAAAACTACATGTGTTTCTGGCTTTTTGGAAGATAAATGTCAGTTCACCCCTGTAACATTCTACTGAAGAAATATGACTTTGAACTTAGCAATGTACTTCTCTGTCTCTTTCCAATTGTCATACACAATTCTGGTGCTAAAACTTCGGAGCCGGAGTTTTTTTGCAGCCATTACAGGTTTCTCTTCTTAATTTTAGAATATAAAACACTGTATCCTAGTGAATATGGCTTTTTTTCATTAGTAAAAATGATCCATTGCAATAATTAGGAATATCTCCAATGCAAGTAAAAAAATCAATTCTTATAATTTTATTTTTCTGATTTCTTCCCAATTAATTCTAAAGCTATAGCTGAAGTTCTGGGCTCAAAAGCAAGTATGTCTCGTGATAAGTACAAGACACTGCAGTGCTTGGAGTCAGCAGCTGTTAATTCCCTTATCAGTATGGACTGGGATGGTACTTTGCTTCATGTTCTTCCCATGATGCAAATTAATTTTAAGGTAAGTTCAGAAAATACACTCTGACTAGCCTGCTGTCAGCTCCTCCCAAGTGGTCTTGTATTTGGTGCTTTTTCACCTCTTTGTCAGTTCATATTTATTTAGCAAAGTTTTGACATGTAGCAATGCATTGGCAATGAAATGCAATTAAACACTAATATATGTCTCCAGACATGATGCACAGAAAGTGTAATTTCACTTCAATGTGCTGCTTGTACAAGATAAGATGAGATTTGTTCAAAGGTTTGTTTGGTGGGCTTTTTTGAAGTAGGTTATGTAACGACTACAGGATCTGTCCTGTTAGCATCTAATACGTTGTGACATGGAGTCCCTGTTTTCATCCTTTTACCTGGTCTGATGTAGGG